AAAAAAAAAAAAAAAAAATGGTCGTAAACCAACTCCTCACCAGTTGTTCTTATTTATATTCAGGAGATGCAAGTAGTAAATGGCAGTACATTTATTTTTGAGGTGTTATTGTTCACCCAGTGAATGTGCCCTTATGGATATTGCTTCAGGATGTTATTTAGCCTTAAACTTTGCAGTTTGTTTTCAGGGATACAGCAACCAAATTAATCACTCTGTTCACGTTATTTTACCGAACACCACAAACACTTAAATACTGAATTGTAGCTGCCATTGCCAAACATCTTGTGGTATAAATATTTATTTTTCATTGGAGAATTCCAAGGAGCAAATTATTTTTGTCAAAAATGAGTGTAGCTGTCACTTGCTCTGCTTTCTGACATTTAACGCTTAACTTACTGTGTTGTGCCTCCAATGTGCTCAAGCCTTGAAATCATGCAGACCTGAACTCTGAGCAACGCAGCATGAATGCACATATTTGGGTCATAGTCACACTATGATCATTTCCACTTGTTGCTTGGACCACCATGCTCAGTCCATCCATCTCTGACTGCCTCTCGGATCGATTTAGATCTGATTCAGCCCGCTTTAAGCTCATACTTTGACTCAGATGTCAGCTTTTATTTATGCACAGTCCATTGCTTCTCAGAAATCAAGTTTTTAAGCAGAGGGAATTTGCTGCTTTCACTGTTTCTATAAACTTACACAAGAAGAGGTGCTCTGTTTTTTCTGTTGCTGTTCAGGATAAAAACATCATCTGATTAAGGTAATTAAATCCAAGTGCAGCACATAGAAACTTCACTTCAGATTTACCTCTATGTTGTCATTGTGATGAAACAAGCTGTCAGAGCATCTTTATTTCCTTTTACAATGATCTTGTGTTTACATTTTCTGATGTATAAAAGTTTACATGCTCATCACAGGAAGTTTAGGTACAAAAAGTGATATTAGTTTTTATGACAGGTTTATGCCTAAAAAAGTTTTTAAGTAGGTATAAAGACACTCATCCATACATCGGAAAAAATTCATCCATCCATTTTCTGACACGCTTAATCCCAAGTGGGGTCGTGAGGGGTGCTGGTTCCCATCTCCAGCTGTCTACGGGTGAGAGGCAGGGTACACCCTGGACAGGTCGCCAGTCCATCGCAGGGCGACACTGAGACAAACAACCATTCATGCACACACTAAGGAGAATTTAGAGAAGCTGATTAACCTAACAGTCATGTTTTTGGACTGTGGGAGGAAGTCGGAGTACATGCTCAGGGAGAACATGCAAACTCCATGCAGAAAGACCCCGGGCCAGGAATTGAACTCTCTTGCTGCAAGGCAGCGGTGCTACCTGTTGCACCACTTAGCAGCTGTTAATAGCAGTGCATGTCCTCGAGTTATGATTCCTGGAGATATAGATCTTAATATCAGGACACCTGTTTTTAGGGTAATAATCATTAAAATTATATAATTATATTAATCATTTAGGATAATAATCCCCATCTTTTCTAGAAACACAAAATCAGCAACATCAATTGTGTCAGCTAAAAATGCTGTACTGGTTTCCCTTTTCAGTAGCAAAATATTCAGTACTCACATGTGTTGGTTCATTGATGTGGCATAAGTTCCAGTGTTTTGGTATCACCGCTAACATGTCCCCATATGAACTACAACCTGCCTGAATATTGCTTTTTGTGTGTTGTTGTTCGTGATCAGAAGATAAACCAATGTTATATAAAACGTGTTGAAGCAGATTTGTTGTACAAACACTTAGCTGGTACATATTTAATAAATGCAATACGTCTGTATATGAGTCCAGTTTAAAGAATCATGAAAAGATAAAGTATACTACTGGAAATATATTTATTTTTTTCTCTGTCTTCTGAAATGGTCATTAAGTATATTTGATTTCTTGTGTATTAAAATTATTATATTTTGCAGCCTGTGTCTTACGTCATGAGTCTGCAGTGGATCTCACAGTGCTTGCAGAGAGCACTGGAATTTTTAACAAAAAAACAAGACTATGAAAAATAAACTTCTCCACCAAAAGTAACCTATTTAAATAAATCGAAATACGAAAACAAAATCGTAAATATTCTTGTATCTATGATAGGATGCCCTTAAGATGCTTTTTGAGTTTGAGTAACCTCATTTATAATTATGACATTTTCTTGCTTTTGTTTTTAATATGGCTTTACTGATGTGGCGTTATTTCTAAGGCTTCTAAAAACATTAGATAAAGGTAAATAAATACAATTACAGTAAAATAAGGCTCAACTATCCAAGTTGGATCTTCCTGAGATTGACATAATTTAGCGATTGCTGTTTTGGCTTTAAATGATCGCTTTGTGCAAACCAATCAGGAAAGGAGTAGTGTTATATACCTGCCATAGCACAGTATCAACAATCACCACATGGGAAAAAATGTAGAATTATTGGAATTGGAAGTTTTTCCATTGTGGATGATGTAAGATGCCAATTAAAGGCAAAAAATGAATTAAAATGTGTTTTTAAGTTTGATGGTGTGCACACTTCAGCAACCTGAAATCTGTTTCTGTAGAACTGCAGAAGTTATTAAATACAGAAAAGATTTTTCTTTTAAATACCACACTTTTCTGAATCCGAAAGAAACTCATTTAAGCGTGTAAAGTTTTGAAGGCCACAGTTCTGGAACCAAATTAGTTTTTGGTGTCTAATTTGTAACAATAAGCAAACTCACAGTCATTATGAATTATTGAAACTTTTGTCCCTCCCCCAAAAAAACTTATTTTCCAAGTCTTTGTTTGAGTAATTTTTCATTAAAGCAGACATAAAATAACTTAACATGTTTATGCACTGGTATAATTTTGCTTAACTGCATACATAAATGCATAGTTGGGGAGTGTTGGCCAAGTGGTAAGAGCAGTGCACTTATGCTCTGAGGTTGCAAGTACCCGGTACGATCCCAACAGCCTGCACTCTGGGTCTCTGTGCAAGACCCTTAAACCCACACTGCTCCAAGGGTGCCACACGATGGCATCCCACTGCTCCCCAAAGTCGATGGGTTAAATGAGGGTTAATTTCTTCATTGTGAGATCAGTTTCTATCCTATTTCTACTTTTCCACAGAGCTTGGGGATAGTTGTATGGTTTAAAAGACATTTTTAAATGTATCTGCTTTTTAAAAAATGAAACCATCCCCAGAAAATTTGTATTTTATTTGTAAAGAAAAACAAAATCACATACAAATCTTATTCCACATACAAGTCACCTTGAAAACTGACAGTTCAAAGGCAACAATTAAAAAGACTTACTAATGATCATTTGGAGGGGGGGAAAAAACACATTAAAAGCAAGAGAGGACACTTAACCTTATCCAATTTAATAAAAGTAAAAGGATCAGCCCGACAGCTTTAAGAGGAGTTGTAAGCACAAGACAATATATGAACACTTTTCTGTTAAAGGCTTTGTAAACAGCCAAGAAATGTAGTACCTAGGAAAACATTAGAATGTCCCAAAGATTCAACTTAATCATAAGGCCTGTTTTAAGGTAACTAAAACAAAACAAAAAGTCTCTTAATGCTGCACAAGAAGCAGGCTGTTGGGGATTTTTTGACCACGGACTACACTTACACAAAAATGGTGACGAAGATGCCCGAGGTAAAATAAAAAAAAAGAGAAAATGCACATAATTGAAAATTTCCCTCCAAATGCTAGGTAAATAATTCCCCCTCTATCGGTAATGACGTGGAGGGGGGCTAAGGTGAGCTGGTGGGGGCCTTCTGGGGGGCGGGCTATTCCTTAACATAGGATGGCGTGGAGGTGACTGGTAGCGGGGGGGTGATCCTCTGTTAAAAAATGGAGGAGAATAGCGACCTCGGGATCTGGAGCGAGAACGTGGACGACTCCAGCTAGCACTGCCTCTGTCCTCAAAAACTCTGATGTAGGAGGTTTCACCCTGCAAACAATTTTAATAAATACATAAAAAAAAACAAAAAAAAACAATCACGTTTACCGTTTTCACCATAACTGATGATGCATACCTGATGAGAGCGAAACTCTGTCCGGTCAAGTCGGCGTAAGGCGTATTCCATGTCCTCCCTACGGAGAAACTCCACTACGCCCTCTCCATCTCTCTGCACGTCTGCGAAACAAACATCTCCTGCTTCTCGCATGTGATCCTTCAGATCCTGCCAGCTCCCAGTAGGAGGTAAACCTTCAGTGGGGAAGGCAAATGTGATAACATTTAATATAATACCATTTCAAGTTAAAATTTCAAGGAAAGATATGAATATTTAAAAACTGTGGATTTGGGTTCAGTGAAGGATTAATAACCTTCTACAATCATTTTCATTAAAATCAGCAAAACAAAGCAAACTTTGTTCACCCATACTTGAATCTTTGTTCACTTCCTTTTTCAGGTGTTCAAATGAAGCTTCTTTAATCATTCACAGTTTTACCTTAGAGAAGTTAATCATTGCTAAGAATGAGATGCTAACTCCTGAACTATCACTGCTTAAATTGGAAACAGACTTCGACTGCCAAAAAAAAAAAACATTTTCTTGGGGGTTTCTACCCGTTTTTCTTTGTGTTCAAAGCAGACCAAATGCCAAATCTAGTATTTTTTTTTTTTATTATTAAAAGCCCTGCAGCTAAAATATTTAAAAAGATTAAAAATTTCTGGCAGGTTATATTCAGTGTTGTCATATTCAGAGCATGCGCGAGGAAAATGCATTTGAAACCTCCATCTTAATGGGCCAGGAACAGAAAAGCAGCCATGTTATGTACAGCTAACTGTAAAAGCAAAGTTTTTTTTTTATTAAACCCCATCACTGCTGCATTATACATGACTTAAAAGTGAACGACCAACATAAGGAGTGACTTACTGGAATAGAAGAACAATAATATATGCATATATGTCATTTAAAATTGTGTACATCCTCGCTGAGGCAGCTGTAAGCCTCTTAGTGAATGCCTCTACCAACTTTAAACCTCTACAGACTAAGTTTTGGCCAATTCTTTTTTGCCCAATAAGAACCCTGCATTAAACCTCTCCCCACCTGTATTCCTAACCTGTATGTGGTGTTTCTTGGTCTTGATAAAGCCGTTTGTTCACTAAAGTTATTTAGAAAACATCTGAGGTCTTCATTTAAACTGTGACTACCTACAGGTGGGTCTATTTCTATTTCTAAAGGCAACTGGTTACCCTGGGTTTTGTGTAGAATCCCCAGATAAAAAAGGGAATTTTTTAAACCTGTATTTTTCCTTCCACTCCTCAAATATGTGTGTTAGGGTTAGCATTTACATTCCCACAATGAAATACAAAGAAGTCTGCAGTTGTCACCTGAAAAAAGTGCCTTTGTACGAGGCACTGTGTGTTGTATTTACATATGGAAGAAAAAATATTTAAAATACTTTGTTTTAAAATGAAACCTACCAGATTATTCTGCCAAAATGATCAGTTTCTGCTTAGTTTCAGTTTTCTTGATTTTAGGAGAAGACAATTATTTCACTCAGTCCATTTGACCTCCTGTCCACCAAGTGAGAACATATCTGTCTACGACTTGAGACGCTCTTTACTAGATTCCTTGTCCTCCCGTCCGCCATGAGGGTAGAGAGTAGAATTGATTTTTCAACATTAAGGGTCGATATACAAATCCCTTGTCCTCCTGTACACCATGGGAGACAGAATAATGGTCTACAACCTTTGACATCCATCTAGTAGACCCTTATCCTTTTGTCCACCATGTGAGAGATCAACACACTCATCTACTGCTTTGGGGCTCCATCTACTGGGACTTGATCACCAGTTCATCATGAGAGATAGAGAAATTCTTCACTAAAACCTTTGGGGTCCACCTACTAGATCCTTGTCCTCCTGTCCGCCAAGAGAGAGAGAGAAATATTAACCTTTAGGGGTCCGTCCAACAGGCTGTTGTCCTCCTTTCCGCCATGGAAGAGAGAAAATTTTTCTACAACTTTGGCCGTCCATCTACAAAACCCTCCTCATCCCTTCAGTCATGAGAGAAATTTTGTCTAAAACGTTTGGGTTCCATCTAGTAAGCCCTTGTCCTCTTGTCCTCCAAGAGAGAAATATTGACAACCTTCTGGGGTCCATCCATTAGGCTCTGTCTGGCATTATAGGGGAAAACATGTCTACAACCTTTTGGTTGCGTCTATTAGGCCCTTGTCCTCCAATCCGCCTTGATAGAGACAGAAAGATTTGTCCAAAATCTCTGGGGTCTATCTACTAGGCTTTTGTCCTGTCCGCCATGGGAGAGAGAAATATTGTCTACACTTTTGCCGTTCATCTACAAGACCCTTCTCCTCCTCCTCCGCCATGAGAGAAATATTTGTCTACAACCATTGAGGTCCATCTACTAGACTTTCTTCTTCCATGAAAGAGAAACATATTTGTCTAAAGCTTTGGAGCTCCATCTACTAGTCCTTTTGTCCGCCATGAGAGAGAAATATATTTGTCTACACCCTTTGGGGTCCATCTAAAAGGGACTTCCCCTCCAGTCCGCTCCGGGAGAGGACATGCTATGGGACTTGGACTTCTACATTCCTAAAGGTCCCTTTAATTTGAGATCGCACCTAAACAGAGATCAGTATTATTGGTCCAAGGTTCATGGCATCCACCTACCAGTCACTATGACCCGAAATTCGGATCTTCGAGTTGGGGGTCCAAACCTTCCTCTCTGTGCTCCTCCACCACCTCCCATTGGACCCATTTTAGCCCCAGTGGATCGAGGATATTCCACACGTAGCTTGGAGTTCCCATATGAATATCCATTTCTTCCAAAGATAGCATCCTCAGCATCCCTAAGAGAAGAGAGCAAATAACTCCTTACCAAAGTACACCTGGTGGGCCGAGACTGGATTCGGCACCTCCATCCATCCCCTCCTTGCATTGTCTGGAGTAGAAACTGCACCACAAAATCTAAGGTGTCCAACAAGGAGACTGTGTTTTGACTTGCTGGAGACCTCCCGAAAACTCACCGTGGGTCCTCAAATCGGATGAAGGCAAAAGGAATGGTTGCTCCATTTCCTTTCAATTCTATCTCTCGGATTTTTCCATATTTGAAGAAGAGATCCTCTAGGTCTCTCTCCTGGACATCCATTGGGAGATTTCCAACATAGATCCGGCCGTCAGACATTCTGTTAGACTGGAGAGCACTGCTGACACAGAATAGGGGCAACTGCAGATGATAAGATCACCTCTTGTTTTCATAAACGGCAGTGGTAACTGTCCTTATCGGAATCCAATTGCTTAGTCCGTTCTAGGGTGGTTCCTTAATTCAGAAAAAAGATTAACTTATACAACAGTAATGAAGACATGACCGAAGTAAACGACAAGATCAAGGAAAAAAAACAAAAGGGGCACAGAAGTTTGAACCAAACGCGAAACTTCAAAGAAGATATAGTAAAAGTTTAAAATTTTTAAAAAATATGAACATTATGTAGTTGTGAATCTCCTTTTTACAAGACTAAATTACTATGAATATTCCTTGGGTGTTTTTAGTGATGAGAAACTGATAAAGGTTATAGTGTTTCACACAGGTAGAGAAAACGGCAGGGTAACATCATGCATCATTGATTTTAAGAGTATCTTAAAGCTTCTAAACACAATGTCTAGATTCTGTGTGTAGGATATGTTATGTTTATTCTTTTTACATCATGTGCATTGTTATTCTGTTAGCCAGATTAGAGAGAGTAGAAGGCCTTCCTTTACATGGTGGATGTCACCGTTTGTACGGAGGTCATCTAATCAGGACAGCCTTCGTGTCTTTAAAAATACACAGGATATGGGCACATCTTGGAGCCGGACTGATAAAGGAAAGCTATGTGTAATCCTGGGGTAAAGAGGCAAGATGTGTAAAGGTCAAGGCATGGATGGCGTGTCGGTTACTGACACGGACAGTTGAGCATCCCCCTGATGCAGCACATGGATTCATGAGGTATAAGAAGGAGGAGATGACCTTGTTCAGGGCTCAATCTCTGCCGGAAGCTTGCTGACGTTTTTTGAGCCCGCAGCTGTGCCGAACCCTAAGCAATTTCTCTGTCCTGTAACGACCTGACCTGGAATAAACGCTGTTACATTTTCACTCCTGTTTTATAGTCCTTTTTTATATGGTTTTACCAGTTTTGAGTTAAGAGTAGTAAATAACTTGCTCCCAGGTAAAAAATCGGTAGGGAAGTTCCGAGGCGCAGCCGCCTTCTGGGGGACCTAGCTGACATATTTAACAATTGGTGTTTCCGCCCGGTTCTGATGATTCTTCATACATAAAAAGGTAACAATTCAACATTGGTTATAGAAATCCATTCAAGTCATTTAATTTTTTTCAGCTTCACAATTTTTAGGTTTTACAGTTTGGTTATTTTGCATCCGACTTTGATTTGTTAGGAAAGAGAGGCACCTCATGCCACCAGGAAAATGTTGCAAAATTGTTTTGACTACCAACTATTTGATCTGATGTACTGCTTTAAGGACCAAAAAAAAAAATTATCGTTAGGAAATGTTATGAGAAGTCTATCATATGAAGTTGTTCAGAGCAAAGGCAATCATGAAAAGAGTGGAGATTTGTGAGAAAAGGACAAATCTACTAAGGTAAGTTATTTACTTTACCTTTTTAAGATTAGATATTTTATGTGTCAAATCTAAAACAAAAAAAATCTAGAGTCTATGTTTCTGTTCTTACAATAAACTTATTGGAACAACAATTACATTTTTTTTTTATAGCTTCTCATTTCCACTCTTTTGTCAGATATTTGACTCATTTTTACTCAGAAACACAGATCTGCATTGATGACTGAAAGACAATTCATGTTAATATGTATTTAAAGACATTTCAATTAGTGGAAAAAATTGCGGGGAATATATAAAAAAAGGAAAAGTTTGAACAACCAAAACTATCTCGACCCCCATGCAGTACCTCTAAGGGACCCCTAGGGGTCGCGGACCCCCAGTTGAAGACCTCCGTCTTAAAGTAATGCATGGCTTTGAACTACTTGCAGTCTGATTGTTGAAAAATACCAATATCATACATGTAAAAAGCATTGTGGAATATTTAGAATACATCCAATAAAAAATGGCTGGTTAGGGATTCATTAATCAGGACGTTAAAGGCCTTACAAGGCCTTCTTGTGAAATGGTTCTGGTGAACCGGTCAAACCCGTTTTTCTTCTTAAAGCAACACAATTAAATTAAGCATTTCACGATTTTTAAAACTTCAACAACCCCGGGATGGCCATTTAGATTGATACATTGGTCTTTCAGCGAACCTTCACAATAAAACTGAACTAGCATGAGGCTAAAGCTTATGAGCACTGCGCTTCTATAGGGAGATTCAGCACATTTTTATTTTCCTCCTGTAATGTACATATTGTTTTATTTATATATACATGTGTGTGTTTTTTATTTTCTTTCGTCGTGGGGTGCTTAGATATCTACGTAAATTCGCTGTAAAGGAAAAACCTCTTTGTTGATCAGCTAGTGCTAAAACGCTGCTAATGCGGCTGAATGGCAACGTGATTTATTCTACTCTATAACAATAGTGTTATTCAGTGTATGATATATATTATCAGAGAAATGACTCGGATATTTAAAAGTATACGATTACCTTTCAAAGATCCCTATTACACCTTTCTCGTACTCTTTGAACGCAAGACACTCAGCTTCTTCCGTGTAGCAGCCAGCAGACGTAACTTCTTCTTCTTCTCTATTATGGCGGATGGCAAGCAAGTTTAAGGTGCATACCGCCACCTACTGTACATGAGTGTGTAGCAACATTACTTTAAATCAAATTCTGTTTTTAAATTTTGTATTCTGTACATAAATAAATAATGCTTTCCTTAATCTGTGAATATCCTTTATATTTCCTTAATTTCCCAATATTCCTTTAAGACTCCATTCTTTGCCTGTCCTTTCAACCATCCACCTCAATTTCTCCCTTTCATGTTCATAAGTTTTACAGTTCATCAGTACATGTTCTACATTTTTCTTTTTTCCCACATCCTTCACATTTATCATTATTTTTCCTCCCTATTAAATATAAATTATCATTTGAATAGGTATGACCCACTCTTAATCTAATGATTATTACTTCTTACCTTCTGTTTCTCTAATTAATTCTGATTTTTGGATCTTATATACTCCTCTTCCTTTCTTTTCTTCGTTCCATCTCTTTTCCCATTTTTCCATGTCTTTACTCTTAATAAGTGATTTCCCTTTCCCAAAAGTAATTGTAATTGCTATTGTTCCCTCTAAAGCCCCTTTAGCCAATATATCTGCCTTTTCATTGCCTTTTACACCTTCATGTACTGGAACCCAACATGACCAAATAAGAGACAAAAGCTTCTGCTTCTTCTTCTTGGTGGGCACTTCTGTGAACGTTATCGCCCTTTACAGGACAACCCACAAACATACATCAATGTTTGGTCTGCTGTGTATAGTGAGGACCATGTGTTGACTCCCATCGACTTTCAGTAATTTTTAGATTCAAATTAAAAACATGCTTTATTAATCCCAAAGGTAAATTAAATGTTGCAGTATCTCACAGGTTATTTTGATCCAGGTGGTAGGTGTTGGATCTTCTGTAGCGGTTTGTCTTGCACCGGATCTGGAGAAGACTCCTTATCAAGACACTCTGCTGTTGTTTAAACATCTTCTGAAGAGGATCCTCACTGTTGTCCATAATGTTCTTTACTTTATGAAGAATTCTTCTCTGGGAAATAGTCTCCAAAGTTTCTAGAGGTGTTCCTAGAATAGATGCTGTCTTCTTAATAAGCTTGTTGAGCTTTTTAAAGTTATTAGCTCTAATACTGTTACCCCAGCAGAGGATGGAAGAAGAGATCACACAGATTTATAGAAGACATGTAGCATCTTGCTGCAAACACCAAAGGACTGAAGCTTCCTTGGGAAGCACAATCTGCTCTGTCTTTTCTTTAGTAGGCTTCACAGTCTCCATTCTAGTTTGTGAACATCAAGGTATTTATAGTCCTCAATCACCTCCACTTCTTCTCCCATGGTGTTAACAGGTTTCAAATTGTTCCTGTTCTGAAAGCTACAACAATCTCCCTTGTTTTGTTGACATTTAGGATCAGATCATTGTTTCCACACCATGCGACACCAACTCTCTGTCCTCAGCTTCTTGTCCATCTTTGATGCACCCAATGAATGCAGAGTCATCAGAGTATTTCTGCAGATGACAGGACTCTGTCTGGTACTGAAAATCGGACGTGCACAGAGTAAAAAGGAATGGTGAGAGTATTGTCCCCTGTGGTGCTCCTGACTACTCGACAGACAGCTGACCCTTCAGTCTTATAAACTGTGGTCTGTCTGTTGGATCGAGGCAATTGTTAATGCCACCGCCCAGGTCTTCTTAAGTTTCTCACAAAAGGAGTCATGCTAAATCATGTTAAATGCACTGGAGAAATCAAAGAACATGATCCCCACAGTGCTCTCTGCCTTCTCTAAATGACAGTGGGTTTGTTGAAGCTGGTGGATGATGGCACCATCACCTCCAATTCCATGGCGATAAGCATATATTATAATGATGCCAGGGAAATTAACTTTTAAGATATCTAGAAGCTCTGCAGTCTGATTTTCTCTTCCATAAAAAAAAACAAAGCAGATATCTGTTCATTTTTACCTTTAAGTGGGAGTCATGGTCCTCTGAGAAGCCCATCTTTTTTTAACTGATAAAGAAGAACAAAAACTATGTTTTGTTCTTCTTTATTACTATGTAAACTATGTTTTCTCAAGCTTCTTGCATTATTATACTAGCTTGTATAAACTTACAATCTTTTGCCATTATAGCTGAAAAAGCTTCATATGCATAAAGAGCATATTTTTTGCTGGCATCACTAATTTTTTAACCAACCCGTCTCCTAAATTTTATTTAAACATATGTTGAAGTAGCTGCAGGTTAAAATTCACTGAGTGCTACTGCGTGTCTCTCTTTCAACGATGTAGCTACTATCTACGCACACACTCAGTCATTGCATGTCCTCTCCACGTGGCTGACACAGTGCATCCCAGTCTGTAGCCTCAAAACAACCTTGCAGGGCTTCTTCAGCTTCCTATGACCATCTTCTTACTGCAGGTTGGCTCTTATAAAGTGGCTTATAATCTGAGCAAAGAAAAACAAGATTGTGATCTGATATCCCAAGTGGAGGTCTTACTTCAGAGATGTATGAGTTCTTGACATTTGGATAAAACAAGTCCAAAGTTTTTTCTCTGATGCAGCAGCTGACAAACAGTTGGAACATTGGCAGTGTAACAAAGATTGAGGCATGACTAAAATCACCAGTTATTTCCACAAATGCATTTGGTTATTGTGTGTATCTTCGCAACAATGGAACTGATTACATCACATGCAGTGTCAGCAATGACAGAAGGTGGAATGTAAACAGTTACTAAAACACTACTGAACTCTCTGGGCAAACATCACCTGCCAACAGTTCAGTATGAGCTGCAGTGACAAATCTTCACACCGACTTTGAATTTCCCTGTCTTATCTTTGTCTGCTAGTATGGTCAGAAAGCCTGGCAGATATATGCTTGAGTCTGAGATATGATCCTGGAGCCACATTTCAATGCAACACATAATGCTGCTTTGCCAATATTCTGGCTAGGTCCTTGCTAGGGCTTAGAGATCTACTAACTTGTTTTCAAAAGATCTAAAATTTGCCATGATGATTGAGGGAAGAGATGGTTTAAATGTCTTCTTCCTCTCTCTTCTCTTTTGCTCCTGTTCTGCATCCCTGGTGCCCAACCGTCTAATGAACTATACACAGTTATTAACATAGTAATTAAAAGTACCACTGTCTGCTTTGCTATTGGTGTCGTGTTTAAACGGCTCACCATCATGTTGAAATCTACCATGTCTTGCGATATAAATAGGGTCCGGTGAGATCAGTCATTTCAGTATCAGGTGGGTGTAAGAGGAATTTTTTGCACCATTACGACTGCAAAGAGACGTCCTAGTCTGAAATTGTGTAGGGGCCCTACCAGTTGTCAGTGATGGGGCCCCTAAGAGGTCGAGGGCCTCCAAGCAACTGCTATCTGTAATTACTGATATTTACGCCATTGGTGAAAATCCTCCCAATGTCACAGTATTCAACAACTGAGGCAAATAACATCAGAAAAAAAGACACTTTGGTCCAAAAATGGAAGAATTCAAGTTCTCTGAAAAAAAAAAATATCAGAGGCAAGCTAGCAGAGCTACTACAATGTGCAGCCGCATAAGCAGAGCAATTCTAGAATGGGCTTAGTGAATCCGGAGTTAGACAAAGCTATAATTTAAGCTGGGAGTAATGGGCTTAGTGAATCCGG